TCTGTTTAATAAGAGAAAAGAAAAAGAAAGCCTTCTCCCATAATTTTCTCTATCTCTGCGGATTAATCTTTAATACAATTACGCTTGTACATACATCGTTTTACTGTTTTCGTATAATTAGTTTAACAACGAATATGGAATTAAATCTATTTAACTTGCTAGGAAACAAATGATATATCTTTTTCTCAGCGTTTCCAGATGTGGAATTCACGCGTGCGAAAGAGATGAACTTGCGACAAGTATCATTTTCTTTTCTAAATTGCGCTAGAATCAAATTTAATTTAAAGAAAGAAATAAAAACTAATCACTTTTAAAGGAATAAAACGGTCCTTGCAACTTTCACGTAATTGTGATCCAAGTCACGATCAAATTTCGCTTCATCATAATAACCGCTTATTGAGGTAACGGAGATATATTTCAGATCATTAGACACAAATAATTTCGTAATTTGACAATTTTTCAAGAATCCATTCATTGGCTATTACGCTTTTTTATTGTATACCTACTCTACGATAGAGAAGTCTTCCAAAGTATTGATATATACTTATAATGATTTTTTACGCGTTAAATAACAGCTCATTAAATACAAGAATCGCGTGCAGTGACTTCTGCAATCTAACTTTTGCATTTTTTCATTGATGACGATTATATGAGCATTAATTACTTTTTGTTAGATTTCTTGAAGCATCGTCTAATGACGCGACAGTGAAACAACATAATTAAAATGATGAAAAATGTTTGCGCGCTTTAATTGTATTTAATTTTTCGCGAAATATATTTCAATAAATTATAATGTAAATTGAAATTTAACACGGTCATTATTTTATCTATATAATCTACAAAACATACCATTTATTCTGTCAAATCTCTATACAATCCTTGGTGAAACGCATTATAAATTACATGCTTGAAGAATTACTTTACATCAGAGCTCCGTATAAATAAACATATGTACTTTCTTCTTAATTGATAAGACATCCTTATTATAGCACATAGAGATTCAGTGGAATGTAATTAGAATTTGCTACAACTTCTACACTTCCCTTTTGTGCGCCTTGTTGTTCGTTAATCTACTTGTTTCTAGTTTCATGCTCTGATAGTCATTTCATTTCGCGATAATCAAGATAAAGATCGACTTTTTCTGAAGGTATCATCTTTTTCAATCCCGATTTACATGTAGAATCGTATCTCAGACAGCTGGAGCGTCCCAAGAAACTAATTAATGAGACGTGCCGACAGTTCTCAGATATATAGAGGCTACAACATAGCAAAGGCTCGATCGAGACATTTTGCACGCTCGCTGCACAATAAGTCAACTTTCACCTCGAGCAAAGCAAATGCTTTCGCGTTGAGAGAGAAATCTATATAGCAATCGAGTTTTAGGCCAAATTTCGCTCCTCTGCGAGAAAGATTTTGCTTAAATAATTTTTAAATCATCTTTTCACGTAATATGAAATATTTACAGATTAAATTATTTAATGTGTTCGTGTGTTATGAGAAAAAAATTGCACAAGATCGCATAGTTTGTAAAAAAAAACGCAAATCTAGTCTTCTTTAATTTTGTAGTTACGTAAGAATAAAATACAGACACTTTAAAAATAATCCATGTTTTTATCCAACTAAAGAATGAATAAAAATTTGTTAGCCTCATAAAAATCACATTTCCGGGTTTTTTTGTTAGAATCAGCGAATATATAATGACTTTGCAATTCGGCAAATGTATAATTATAATGTCATTTAAGCCATTAAGTCACTGTCAAGAATTGGCAATTGTACTATAATTTCTAGCGAAATGTTTTATAATTGATACCATTAATCTGCCAGATTTCATTTCTCATACACAACGCATCGCACACTTTCTCTTATTTTCTATTCAAATAAAAAACGCGTAAATTCCCGCGCACAAGGAACTTCTTCGCGAACAGGACTTCCTGACATTCGCGACCTTATCGCGTCAAAACAAGCACTCTATTAAATTTACTTTCAATCTGCTCAAAGAAGCGGAAACATCAGAAAAATACGGTAGTCAGTAAATATTTACCGCACATATCCGTATTAAATCCTCCCGTTTTATGACAGCTAAATTACAAAAATATTTAATTAATTTATTTTATTCCGATCTAATTAATTTCTTTTATTTTACGCGCAAGTGCCGATAATATTTATTAGTAAATATAATTTATTAATATAAATTAATTAGTAAATATAAAAGAGCGTATATAGTCACCTGTGCAGGAAAATGTAAAACGCATTCTCCAAAATACGGTAGTCGGTAAATATTTGCCGCATATATATTATCCGTTTTAAAACTTCCCATTTTATGACAGCTAAATTGCAAAAATATTTAATTAATTAATTTTATTTGACGCGCAAATGCCAATATATTAGTATATATATATATATATATATATATATATATATATATATACAAGAAAATGTAAAACGCATTCTCTAAAATATGCAAAATATAGGCAATTGATTCGCATGTTATGACGATCTCGTATCGTGCGCATAAATACATATCATCGCATATTGATGTCGAAGCATTGCGAACCACAGATGTATGTACATACTTTACATCAGATCACATTTAAGGTTCGATGAACCGTATTCATGCTTCATGCCAAGAATATTGATTGAAGAAACAAATGTTGGAGAAAGAATATTCAAGCGTATAAAAGTACTGTCGAAATTATTTTCATGTTTTTTTTTTATTCTTCACAGTCAAAAAGTAAAAAATAATTGAGATACAAAATATTCTAGAGTTTATGAAACGTCTCGTTGAACCTCGTTAATGCATATTTATCCCATTACGAATTTCTACATCATTGAAAAATATAAATATAATGCGTCATTATAAGAAATATATCTAGGGAAAACGTCAATTTTGTGTAATAACATATTGCCAGTAAATGTTGGCGTTTATAAAATTATCACGCGTTAACATGCGAACTTTTTATTGAACCTCGTTTAACAAATTGTCGACCAGACTCTCCCTCGGCAAATGTAATATTTTATTTAGAAAGGTAATTTTTAATTACGCAAAACACGACTGCTTTTTTTCATGCAATTAGAAAGCGTAGAGAAATTTCTATATGGTGCTTTAGAGGACGGTGTTACATTTACAGATCTCGCTAGCTAAATATTCAGGAAAATTACGTGTAAACGCGTGTTTTTGCACTTTAAGTGCATAAATCTCGTCTCATTATAGCAAATTATCTATGTATACGCCTCATCTATATCATGTATGATAAATGGCAATTTTTTCGCCATTTAAACAATTATATTTTTATACAAGTATATGTCTAAACGAGCTTCTAATCAACGTTTATTGCGCCAATTACACGCAATTATCACATTTACGAATTCTCCGAATACATAGTACGTGTACGAATTCATAGTATTCAGCTCGAGGTTTCTCGCTTCTTTTCTGACATTTAGAAAGTAGGATAGGATTATAGAGGATAGTCTAGTGACATACGAGAAATCCGCGACAGACTTTAATTTGCCGGTACAGCAACCAGGGATGCGTAAAATTTATATGTTACGGGAAGTCCCGTAAAAACTACTTTAGCAATATTATACAATAAAAACGGTTCGATTTCCCTCGCTTGCTTCATCTCTCTTTATCGAAATTTAGGAAATACTAATCATAAAATTTCACTAAGAATTTCCGATAATTTAAATTTAATATATAATGACAAAAAATTGACAAAAAAGAGTGTAATGTTTATTTAAATTCATGTTCTAAATAATCTTCAGCGTTATAAATGAATCTAAGTATCTTCGATAGTTTTCAAACATTCGATATCTGATTTGCACTTTGAAAAAATGCGAAATTGAAGAGAAAAACGTTATCGCGGTTTGTGCATCGCTTTCTTTAACAATTACGCCGCGCGAATTCAATTCGTGTTGCAAATTAACTCGATGCACTGGACCCATAAGCGATGCACTTATCGATCAGTAACAAGCGTGTTCACCGAGATCCAACCAATCGCGGCCAATTTTCCGCGATTGCCAATAACTGATAAGCGATTATTAACATAATTTCGCACGCGTTGCACCGCAAAGATAAATGGAACCGGATGCAATGGGGAAAATGGCATGCAGCATCTTACGCAACGTCAGAGGAAGCGAAAAAAAACGCTGAATCCTCATTGAAATTCCCAGGGCAATGCATTGCTCAAGGCGACACACGGCATACCATTGCTCGGGTAAGACCTACTTTTTAAATGCCACATAGTCATCATTTCTCTCCCACATGCATACATACAAAATATTTTTCGGAAAATCCGAAATTTAATTTTTCGTACACAGCAACAAAGAATCAAACGATTAAATTGTTGGTTTTTGCATAAATTTACAGTTGCCGCGAATAGGAAAAAGATTTCTCCACTTTCTATACAATATTTGTGGATGACACATTATACATGCAGATATCGAAATATATATTTTCACTTTTATATTTCTGTGCACGATTACATTTCGATTTTTCTTAAAAGAATATAAAATGAATCATTGATCGAAAAAATTTCGAGAATAAATTTCAAATTCTTTGCTATTATATTGATTTACAGAATTAATAAGAAACAAATATATCTAATAATTGAAGATTATAATTTGAATGATGTTAGCTCTAAAATGAAAATAAAAATAATATCTTCATTTTCATAAGTAATCTCTTTGATCTAAAAATACAAAGAAACATTGCACGACATATAATAAAAATAATCTACGGATAATAAATGACAGATACGGTATGTATAACGCAGGTCCAGATGAAAATAAAATTTCTCTACTTCAACTGATCAGAAAGCAATCTAACACATTGGAAACCAATGAATCGACAATTGTATAAATTGATCTGCGATTTCCGCAAGAGACGCGAATTCTCTCGCACAGCATCCGTCGCGCGGAATCCGGCGGCGAGAGACAGAGAATCAGTATCGATCCGAGAGTCTACGGTCTGATTCTAATAATGGGGGCGACCAGACGCTTACCCGCGTGTAGCTGCTGCTTGTGCGTGTTCATTCACGGTGAAGGAAAGTTCAGTAAAAAATTGGAAAAAAAATTCGGAGGCTCGCGATAAATGCGCGGATCGTTCCTCTTCGTATTTCTTCGGGGATTCTTTTCCCAGTGTCAAGATGCACTCGCGTATGTCACATACCGGATATATCGAGGAGTCGATCCGAATTCAAACATTCACACGCCGCGGTACAGACCGCTACTGAAGCTTCCCTCGAGACGATCCTCCACGTTGTGGCGCCGCAGCTACCTGTCAGCAATGTCCTGAACTAAGATATTGTCGATGGTCGACGACGGTCACTCAGTTTTCTCCATTTACTCGGCCAAGTTGACTTATCCAATTTCAACATCGAACATTTCATTCCAAAATATATGCGGTATAATTTAAAATTTACCCCATCATTTCCCAAGCATGTATGTGTTATGTACATCTGCACCTTCATATAGTTATCATTGTTTCATTAATTTTTTTATTTCTCACGCTTTAGAAGAGAAGAATTACCCAATGCTCGTTTTTTTACGATGCACTAACTTCATTCCCATAAAATTAATTAATAAATATATAATCTTACTTACAGTCAGTATCTCTTTTAGTATCTGATCAGTGATTTTATCAACAGTGTTACAAGGTTCCAAAGGAGAAAAATCAATCTAGATGACACTCCGTACAGATAAATGATCAAAAGTATCATCATAAAAATCTCATATTTTTGCCAGGAAAATGGGGAAAAGGAAGAGAAAGAATTTCTTCTTATTCTTTCCGCGACATTGTTATCGAAATGCGTGGGCGTCTTTTACGACGATCATAAAACGCAATTTCTCACAAAGCAATATCACGAGAGAACATATAACACAATCACACTTTTCCATGTACGTGTATGTACAAATACATAGGAGAGCAAAGCGATATCGATTTGCCCTCTTTCCTAGTGGCGTATTTCCCTTCCGCTTAATTCTGTCGATACGGATTAACGTAGCTACAACGCACGTCATAGTGTTTCATTTATCTTACAGGCAACTTTTTTCGAAGCAAGAAAAATATAATTGTCTATAGTACGAATATTTTATAAAACTTAATTATTGCGGTGCAAATTTTTACAATTCGTACCTCAAACAAATATTTATTCAAATAAATTGCATAATTATTAAGAAGAGAAAGTTTTCTTCTAAACTCTTGAAAAATACGCAATAAATGTGAAAATCTATAATATCCATAAATAATTTAAAACTCATAAATCCTGCAATATTTGAAATATTTTTTATTTATCTAGAAATATTAATTAATATAAATATTTTATTATAGATATTTTACTCCATAATAAAATCTGGAGTAGTTTATATTATGTACATTTTGTAAATAACACAAAGAATCACTAGGATAATGACGAACGAATAATTAATGTAAATAATTTATGCAAATAACAAATAATTTATAAATTGTGTTCACCTGTCAGTTGTTTCACTGCGACGTCTCCCTAAATTTTTTATTACCTCTCTTCTTCATCTCTTGCTGTTTCTTCATTATATTTACATGTCGCAAAAATATAAATAATTAAATTATGAATAATCACACAATATTATGCACAGCATTTTCAATGTTAATCGCGCACAAATCGCGGGATCGAGTAATTAAAATAATAAAAAGATATAATATTGTATATCAATCATTCGTTAATAATTCATAACTTGAAAAACAAGGGACATAATATTCTTGCGGGTGTTTATTTAATAACGCATATTAATATAGAAATTAAAATTAAAGATAAATATTCGTGGATTGCAATATTTGTTTATACGATAAATTTTGGTCGAATAATAAATCTCGCAAAATACATTTTGACATATTATAGTAATATACAAATGCGAAATTTATAATGTGCGAATAATAAATATTAAAATGCGGGATTAACAAAATATACATATTTATCAATTAAAAACATTAAGTTTTGATTCGAAATCGATATATATTTACCATATTTTATTAATAAAATTAACGAAAATGTATCGACAATTTATATTGTGATATCGCGCAATATTACATACGCATATTATCGCGAATTGAGCTAATAGCTAATTAAGACTTGCGATAAACGGACACAAAATACATAATAGAATCTCGATAGTATCAAACATAGTATATTTCCGATATCTAAATCCTGCAAAATTCATGTATTATATCAATGAATATACATATTATGCTCTTTGATTATTTGATTGAAACAGCGGTATTATTACACGTCGCTTATAGCAAAAGTTAATTAATCGCGCGGATTAATCGTTAATTGTAATAATCATCGAGGCGGAATAAATCGAGTTTCGGAGCAATTTTGCTTTGTTGCCGACTCGCGCGAGCGATAGCGTACAAATGACAGCCTCACAGCAACAAAAGCAAAATATTACAAATTACAATGTTCACGACACTCGTCTTTATGACGTACATACATACATATGTAGATCGCGCTATTGTTTACACGTCGTCATCTCGCTATTATTCGTACGACGACACTCGAGTAGGCAGCAACATGAGCTGCTCCGTTTATCTCGTTGTCTTGAAACCAGATTACTCCTTTCGTATAATTATTGCAATTAACTATTATTAATATCCGTGCTATAAATTATCTTGTACTAGAAACGACATGTAATATCGCGGCCTATTTCGAATAAAAATTAAGGAACGATATGTCTAGTAATAATATATAACGTCAATTTCGTTGGAAATTTTCTATGCTTGCAATATCAAGTCTTAATCATTATTACCTCGAGTTACAATGTAATATTGCGCGAAATTGCAATAAAGATGTCGGTATCACTTTCGTTAATTTGTATTAATAAATAAAGTAACAAGTATACTATAAATCGATTGCGAATCGAACGACATTTCAACGTGTTTAATTGATAAATATGATCGCATATTTTATTACTCCTACATTTGAATATTTATTATTCGCACACTATAAATTCGACGTTTGTATTGTTATAACTTGTCAAAGTGTATATTTCACGAGATTTATTCAATCGAAACCATATAAACGAATATTGCACTATTTATCTTTAATTTTAACTTATATATTTATTCATTTCCGTTCTAACGCAAAATAACAAAATTATTTTAATTTGCAAATGCAAATATATACTGCACGTTAGTAATAAATATTTTGTCTCACGAGTGGCACGTGAATTTGATCACGTGATTCTGGATTTTATTTCAAATACGTCACAACTTCTCACGTCATTATCTGATTCAAATAAAATCTCCTTGTCCATTTATTTGTTGTAAACTCTGCAATATAAATGAATTGTTATCTCGTATAATTACATCTTTTTCTTTTTCTTTGTTTCCCTCCTTCGCGTCGAGATAATTCTTCTCGAAAAGTAGAAAAGTGGTAAGCGCCCTCAAAAATTCAATTTGAAGAAAAATTGTCGAATGATAATGCTTGCGAAGGTTAAAGAGAGAAGCGTGGGTGGTTTATTGGAAGCGTTTCGAAATGGTGCTGGTAGGTCAAAGTTTAAATTGACACATGCGGACTCGACAGACAGCCGTTGTCGGCAAAGCCGATCGGGAACAACGGCCAGCTCTCGTTATCTAACGCAGCCACACTTGCGGACGCAACGTTAAGTAGTAACAACGTAGGTAGGATAATGGCATTCAAAGGGCTGTTTGCTTCAGTTCAGTGGAGGGATGCGCGTTCTATGCCTTTACGCGAGGGAAGGTGGAGAGATGGAAAGGTATTTATACGCGTATCTCAAGGCAAATGAAAGAATAGGTTTATTCTGCGTCCACTTGATGCCGCACTTTCAGGACGTCTAGCGGTCAGGGAATTTTATAAATCTCGAATTGTCAGGGAAAAGTCAGGAAATTTTACTATTTACCTAAATTTTTTCACATTATTCTACATTTGTCTCAATAATTTGACATTTCTTATTAAATAAATATCAACTTTTCCTTGACAGCGTGTTCGTTATGTTATATCTTCATCGTCGTGTTATTTTATTTCAATGTGTTTGATAAAACTAAAAAATTTAATATAATATAAATAAAAAAGGTGATTATTTAAATAGTTTGTAGTGACATGTTTGTTTCGATTATCGTACATAATGCAGATTGTATAATTGATTTAAATTTTTGTTTTTTTAACTTCCGAACCTTTCCATTGTTGACAAAAATATCTCAAGGATCTCATGATTTAACATTTAATTGATTTATCATATAGACATATGCAAATTATATATTTGGAACAAATAATACTAAAAAGTCAGGAAAAAAATAAATTTCTGGTCTTGGAAAATCGACAAAGTCAGAGAATTTTTTTCATTGGGTCTGCTGGACACCCTGACTTTGATACGCGATGTACGAAAACTGACATATAAAAAATACGATATACGATTGTTCGATTTAATTTCCGTCAATATTTTCAGCAAAATTCTCTCGCGTACATAGACATTAATTACAGTTTCGACACTTATTTAAAAGAGTCGAAATCCGTCACATATCTAAAAAATATCATCTACGCGTTCTAATTATACCATATGAATAGTTCAGTATGAATATAAAACTCGCAGAGACTAAAAGAGAGAGAGGGAGAGAGCTGTCAGATAAACGACCGAAATTGTGGAGAAACCTTCGAAGCGAGAAGCAAATGTTTCGCTCCAGTTCCCAATCATCCGGCGCAACGTGCCGAGCCTCCCATTCTATATGGAAAACAAAGTTCTTCGAAAATTTATGGAAACAGTATACGCCAACTCGAACACAGTCGATAGAACGTAATAATCACAAAACAAGAGCGAGTTTCCATGGGAAAAAAAAATTACCATATTCCAATGAATAATAATAATCTATAAAGGTTTACAGTTTGAACCAACAACATTATTTGACATTTTTACTTGCATATTTTGCAAATTGCATTTTTAATTGGTAAATAATTTTGAATTATCTTCACTTATAACTATAATAGAGGATAATGTAATTATATTAACGTCAAATTAAGAGACATCATTTTTCGTTTATTTTCGGTTTAGGGAAAATGTGATAAAACAAGATGATATTAAATGATAATCGCCTGGTTTACCAGTAACTTGACAATTATCGATATTACCACTGTAATAATGTCATTCGATTAGCCTGAAAGCCACATTAATTTCCTTAATGAAGCATCAAATGGTAATGTTGAATTATGATCTGACATGAGATTACACAACCTATGTAATACA